CCATAACAGAAACTCAATTTTACATAAAAGATTTGTTTGTACAATATTTATTTTGATAGGCCTTGGTCTTTTAAAGCTGGGGCTAGACGTTTTGTAGGCGGCCGCTGGTGCAGTAGTAGGCCTAGCCTGGGCCTAGGTTAGGAGGTCTACTACTACAGTACTAGGCCTAGCCAGACTAGCTAGGCTAGGGCTAAAACATCTGCCAATTGAAGCCTAGGTTGTAACCTATTATTTGTCTAAGCTTCATAGTAAATTATTATTATCATATCTGAAACATTGTTTATTATCTAAAAAGAACCAAATTAAATATGTTCGCCATAACTACCGAGCGCATCGCCCGTGACTTCCGTCAACAAACACATGTGAGCGATTTTTTTTTCTGCACACTGCTTACTCTTAGCTTGTTGCATGCATGCAAGCAATGTAAGGTTTAAAAAAATTAATGTTGGTGGCGCACTTCACATCTTGTGCTCAAGATGAAAAAAAAAACGATCGTTTTTCGTCGATTATAGGCATTTTTAGTCGATTTTCATAAATAAAAAATAAATAAATAAATTTAAAAAAATATGTATTAGTTTTTGTAGATCAGTTTAGTCTAGTTTTAGTTAATACTAGGCTAATTACAAGATATTTTGTATAGATATTTCAACTAGCAATCATTTTTTTTAATTTGCTGGTTTGTGAATTTTTACCTAGCAATTATGACAAACCTACTAGCAAATTGCTAGTTTGCTAGCGTGAATTTCGAGCCCTGTCTTTGCGCGGATTTGTGCCGATATACAGTGAAAATATGCTAAAATCAGGCCTATTTTTAATCAGTTATAGCTTCTTAGGATGATAGGTGACCCCCAATTTTTATTACATATTCTGAAAGCACATAAGTTGTATAATATGATGTTATAGATCATAATGGCTGATCGGACATTGTGACGTCATCATATTGGCATCTGAATTCAAAGAAAGTGGATTATAGCTATGACGTCATTTTTGAAAATACGCATTTGAGCGTATCTCGCTTATCCTTGATCGATCGTCTTCCAACTTTGTGTATGTTATAGCTGAGACAATTCTCTTTCATATATTTGACTTCTTTTTACATTTTGATGACGTCATCATGGTTAAAAAAATTGTTTTTTCTGACCCCCTCATTTCTCTTTCTTCAAAACGTTGATGAGCCCATATAATCTTAACCATTCATCATTTCTAAATCATATTAGGTGAGCATAAGCTTCAGGTCAAGGTTGAATGTTATGTACCTTAATTTTCCGCTCGCGCTTTTTAGCGTGCACGTACGCGTGCGTCAACATTTATATATGCATAAAACCATGAATATATTTAATCATTTATAGCTCCTTAGGATGAAAGGTGACCCCCAATTTTTATTACATAATCTGAAAGCACATGAGTTGTAGATACGATTTTTTACCTCAGAATGGCTGATCGGACATTGTGACGTCATCATATTATCATTTGAATTAAAAAACTGAATTTTTATTTATGATGCCATTATGTTTATACTCGTTTGAACGTATCTTGCTTATTCTTGATTGATTGTCTCCCTCCTGTGAGTATGTTATAGCTAAATCAATTCTCTTGAAGACGTGTCCCTTTATTTTTCATTTTGATCACGTCAGCATGGTCAAAAAGAATGAATTTTTGGAGCCCTTTTATCTCTCATTCTTAAAAGATGTAAAAAAAATAGAAGAGGTGAGGGCGGCAGACTGTATTTCGACGCTATCAGACTAACATATGTAGGTTATGTGAAGGGAAAGTTCGTGTGGCATTACCAACTAACAGGCGGTTTTAAATACACTTGACAATGTTTAATTTCGTGTGCT